ACTATTGGTCCTGGGTATTGGATAGGGCAGAATGTTGCCTTAAAATGAGACTCAACAGGTAACTGAACTTGGACTTTGTAATTAAATTTGTGCCTCGTAAATCATAGTGGCAAAGCAGAGAGTTTTTTTAGACTCTCCCTCAAGTTCATTTTTGAGTCCTATAAGTAGACCAGTAAAGTATCATGGATACCAGTACCAGCATGACAGCATTGTAGTGGTGTGGCTTGTGTATCATTATCTATGTCACTGCACCATGCATTCTTTCCACTCACCTGTGTCCTCTCTTTCCAGACTCATGAATGTGGATTATTGGTTAGCTAGGCTTTTCAGACCTAATGCATGTACTTTGATACAAACCCCATTGAGTGTATTGACTTACCTTGAACACTTTAGTGGTTATGTCTTAGGGAGGCGTACTGTTGATTGTGTTATACGTTTTGGACCGCTCAAATAGCTGAATAATTGAATCTAGGATTAGCCAATTTGTGGTTGAACTGTGCGTCATTAGCCAAAACTATTTCATATATTTTTGTATCATCCTAACCTTACTAACCCCATCGCATCCTGTGCTGCAGTGCATATCAGCATCTGTGTTATCAGCGGTGCTAGCATCTCCTAATATATCTTCCTTGGCAGCGCCGGGTGGTTTTAGTAACCTACCCTGCCCGTAGTATCCAGGGCCATACTGTGAACCTCTTTAATATCAATATTAAACGTACCGGGACCGTCGCCCCCTTACAGCATCATCATACATAAGAAATTGGCTTAGATCTTGAATAAATGAGGAAATTAAAAATGAGCTGATTCTAAAAAATCTCTGCTTTGCCACTATGTCGTGAATGGCTTTTCATGGCCGAGATATGGAATTCACGGCTCGGTGAAATGGAATCACGCCATCACGGCTCGAAGAAATGGAATCACGGCTGGCAAATCCATAAAACCACGGCTCGAAAAATTCAGTCGCGGCTCGGCGAGCCGCAACTGAATTTTTCGAATATCTACTGAATATCTACTTGGCGAGCCGGGCTCGCCAAGTAGATATATTCCATGCCTGGCTGCCACACTGCTGCAGCAACAATCCACTTAGAACTTTGCAGGTCTGTGACAGACAGTGTGACCTATTACTGGCCCTTTAAATTGCAGGTGTCAGTGTCACTCCGTGTCAGGTTGACTCACTCGCTCTGACGCCCAAAACCCCCAAATGCTCCCTACATATTCATGCTATGGTGGTCACACAGGTGGTGTCAAAAGCAGACAGCAGTTTTACACCACAAGTGAGTCAGTCATAATCTAAACTAAAGGGTCAGTATGACAAAAAAATGGGGCAAGCAAGTCAAAAAGGTGCATCGCTATTTGTACGCGGTTGACTCAACTTAGTGGGTCAGCCGTGAGCCAGACGCCCAGACCCACCGATTTTTCTTAGTGTTTGTCACTGCCGACTCACTGGTGGCCGGTGGGCGCTAGGAATTCACTGGGCCCCTGGCCCCCTGGGGAGCCATCAGCCAAGGGGGCGCCACTCGCCATCCTGCAAAAGTTTAGGGACTTTGGGAACAACTAGTCTAACTCTAACCCAGTGGTTCCCAAACTTTTTCAGGCTGGCGCCCCCTTTGGCCCCCTAGTGAATTTCTAGCACCCCCCAGTCCCCACAGACATATGCCACTCAGGCCCACTCTCTTGAAATTTGCCACTCTTGTACGCTGAAATTTTAAAAGATGAAGGTTAAACACAAATGTGTATTTCACAAATAGAACCCCATATAGTGAACCAATATGTTTTTCAGCTGTTTTAACTGTTTCAGCACTTAGCACTAGAAGCCATTTAAGCCAAGGACGTCGCGGGCGAATTTATGGCCGGACTCGTGGCCGGTCTCACGACCAATCTCCAAATTCAAAATGATGATGATGTCTTCTTTGAGGTGTAGTAAATGACCTCACACAGGTCGGTTGTCACACCTGGACATGACAATTTCAGACTTGTAGTTGCATTATCAGTTGGGGCCTCATTGTTTGCTTTAATTATTGTGACCTCACAGGGTTTCCAATCTTCCGGTGCTTGCGAGGAATGCAGATAACGCCCCGATAATGAGGTGCTGCTAACTGAATGAGTTCGCTGAATGAGTTCACTGAATGAGTTCACTGAATGAGTTCACTGAATGAGTTCACTGAATGAGTTCGCTGAATGAGTTCACTGTATGAGTTCACTGAATGAGTTCACTGAATGAGTTCACTGTATGAGTTCACTGAATGAGTTCACTGAATGAGTTCACTGAAAGTTCGCGGAGGAGCGTAGGCACGCAGCGCGGCAAGATGGCGTCGTGCGCTTGGCGGGAAGATGCTGGCGCTGAGACGCCGAGGTTACAGGCTGCGGGTTGCAGGTTGTAGGTTGCGATGCAGGGGACACTGCGAAATATTGCAATGTTAATACACAATTTACCACACATTCCACAAATAAGCTATACAAGTCACGTGAGCCATGTTATACTGCATATTTGATTGTTTAGAAACTTGCAACGTCTCTGCCATGACTTTACTCTTACATTTTACACTGAATAACAGTTATTCTAAGGCAGAGTTTCCAAGTAAGGGCTTACACTTAACACATCGAATAAGAGCTATTCTGAGGCAGAGTTTCTAAGTTAGGGAACTTATGAGAGATGCTGGCAGCTCGATGTCAGAAAGCAAATGGACGCTAGAATAGGAGGAGACCATAGAGAGAGGGAGGTGTAGGATGTTGCCCAACGGCGGAAATGAGATTTCTCTGGACTATTCTTACGATGATTTTATAATTATTTAATGTGATAACTTAATATGGTAAGTGTTAATATTAATGTGAACATAAAAATTAATATTAATATGAACATAATATTAGTTCTAGGTAGCGAGATATGTTATACATAAATTTTAGTTTTATGTAGCGATCCGCTACAGGGTCGATAGGAAAAAGGGTTGGTTGGATCTTTGCCAGGCTTTATGATGGGCAGCACCAGACCCTCCTTCCAGGCAGATGGGACCACACCCGTATATGGAAGCTCTGATTGAACAGTGAAAGGAGTTCCGAGGAGTGTGTTCCACTGTAGATCTTTAAGAAGGAGTTATGAACTCGATCAGCTCCTGGGGATGTCTGTCCTAGTCTCACTGTAGCTCTGCGAAGCTCTGCTTCAGTGAAGCTGCAGTTGTATTCAGCATCCTCACCCCTGCAGCCAACGAGGAGTGGTTCAAACCTGACTTGCAGGCGGACCTCCACAGCCTGACAGCAGGCACTGAAGGTGCTACAGAGGAGGTTAGCCTGCTCAGGGGTGCTAGTGATCAGCTGTCCGTTGTCTGAGAGAGGATAATTTGTAGCAGGGAACCGGGCACGTAGTAGGCGAATCTTCCTCCACGCTACAGTCAGGGGAACAGTATATGTGATTTCCTGGATAAACTGTCGTTAGTAGTCTCGTTTGTGTTTCAAAATGTAGTGACGTGCTTCAGCACTATTCCTCTATTCCTCTTGTACATGATGAGGTATGGCATACAAGGATGTCTAATTACAGTCCTTAGAGCGTTTCGACGGTCGATTATGGCCAATCTGCAGGCTTCTGTTCACCAAGGTGATGTGAGTCGTATTGGAGGAGCCCCGGTTGTGGTTGGGAAATTTTATACTGCTGCATCAATGGCTCTGCTAGTAATGTCAGTAACTTTTGTATAAACTGTATTGAGTGTATTAGGGTACACCACAGCAGAGGCATTAATTTGGGAGGCGTTTTTCTTCAATCCTTCTCTACTGATTTTCTACCTTGACACTGGAGCTGAATCTAAGTGGGCAAGCTCAAGCTGTGTGGTAGCCATGAGAGGAAAGTGGTCACTCCTTACGTCCTGCGGACGACTGATACAGAAGCACGGAGACACGTCAGATGATACAAAAACTAAATCCAAGCACCCAGGATTTTCAGTTCGGCGGTCTATATATGTGTAAAAGTCAGTGGAATTGAGCAGTGTTAATGGCTCAGAGAGTAACAAGTCCTCGAGGGCCCGCCAAGTGGCATCAGGTGCCAGTGTGAGATGACAGGAGGGGAGTGTGGGCGTTAAAATCACTATAAGGTACGGACTATAAAGTATGGAGGAGTTAGCGACCCCCATCTACCACAACAGGACCACCAACAGCTGGCTGCACTGAGGCAGCCACTCCACTATTCAAAGAAACACCATCAACAAGAAACACCATCACCATGAGTTGAGTTCTGGCAGTGATCGAGGACGCACGTACGTGTTTGCGGGTCCCAATTTTCTCACTTTTTACAATGCCGGTTTGACTTATCGTTCGAATTTGTACCGAAACGATTTCAGTGAAAGGTTCTATTTTAGTGCAGTTCAGTAAAAATTGTGCGAATAGTGAGAAAAACGGCTAGTAAAAGTGTTTTATTCCCGACAAATGCCAGTGCATGAAGCGAGGGAAAGTTTGTAGCTTGTTGGCAACCCTCGGCGACCGCTTACCCACCGGAGAACAACGGTGCCTTGAGACGCACAGGCCTCGTTTTCCTATACCCTCCCCACCTTCTTGGCCCCTACACCTCCCCCTCTCCACCCGACTTACGCGTCGATCCCTTGATTCCCACACCACACCTCTGTGTTTCCCTCGCCAGCTGCAGCTCAGTTGTTCCTCCAGCCGAAAATTTCGAGGGAACTTTATTATACTTAACTCAACTCAATTTTGTATTTTTCTCGTCCTTTTATCCGTTCAAGAGATCTAGTTCGAGCATTTTATAATGGCTGGACAGAAAATAAAAAAGATAGTCGAAAAGTCCTCTACAGCCTCTAGAGAAAAGCCCTCTGCGGCCCCTTGGAAAAAATGAAACCAAATCAGCCCAGCTAGAGAATCATGCCACATGCCACACTCACCTCATGCCACAAGCCACTCACTCACCTCATGCCAGACGCCACACACTCACCTCATGCCACACGCCACACTCACCTCATGCCACATGCCACACACTCACCTCATGCCACATGCCACACACTCACCTCATGCCACACCAGGACGAGGTCCCCCAGGCAGGCTGTGGCGAGGAGGTGGCTGTGGCGTGGGTGGAATGTGGCGCACCACACGGACCGCATGTGGCCACGCAGGACCCGCACCAGCGCTCCTGTGGCGCTCAGCCACACCATCACCGTGCGGTTGCCGTGGCATGAGGCATGAAATAGTAAATAAATTAATCTTAAATACATGAATCAATATATAAATTTCAAAATAATCTCAAATAAATGGATTATTAAATAAATTAACCTTCAATACATGAATTAATACAAAAATAATCTCTACATGCCTTAATAAATAAAATAATATTAAATACATTAATTAATAAATCAAATTATCTTAAATATAAGAATTGCAAATGAATTATGGATGAGTATAACTCAGCTTCATTTATTAATGGCTGTCTAGTTTATGTATCTATGGTTGCCATTAAGGCCATTTTTATTCATACCATTATGCCACCATCACATTATGGTGACAGCTTCACACATTTCTATCTACCTACATATTATAGTTTTAAAATGGGTAGAGTAAGATAGTATAGTTTCTACAGTATCAACCTTCAAACACATTAGAACACACACATACACTAAATAAATAATATATTGTATGGATATATATTGTACTATTAGTTACAAACATAGCCTGACATGTCATATCAGATAAAAATGTAATTTCTGGATAACCTAAACATATTCTCTTGTGCCAATTGGTTGTTAAAACTTTCATAATGGTTCAACTTTAGTAGAAACTTGGAACTTATGTACATTAATTGAACTTACATTTGATAATTGATGGGACTGTTCATAACCGTGGCCTCCTCGGCAGCCACCGTCAGAGCTTCTCGTGTGGTATCAAACCCTCCACACGCTGCAGGATTCTTTTTTGTACGTGCAGAATTTTGCCGAGCACTTTTCAAGTCATTTTTCAAAAATTCATCCTGACTTAGAAGTTTTTTGACACACATGCCAAGATAACGCGTGTGGTTCTTATCATCCACGTGATTTACAGGAATATCTGAAGGCGTAGATTCCAATTCCTCACCCAGATCATTTAAAGGTATGCCTCCAGCATTATATGATCCCAGACATAACTTGCGTCTGAACTCCTGCTGCATTGGGAACACTGATGGGTTGTTGTCCGTGGATAACTCGCCAAAAAGATCCATGGATTCTAGACGTGATGGATTTGGTGGGCAGCCTGACATTAATAAATGCTGGAGATTGTCTTCAGAAGTGTGAAGACTTTCTCCAGATTTATCAAGACCGTTTTCTTGAGAACTTCTTGAGATATCAGGTTGATCACAGGATCTTCTCAATGAGGAAAGTTCCAAATTTTCTTCACAATTTCTTGAAACATTGCCATTAGTAAACTTTTCAGGCTGAGAAGGCACAGAGTCTGGGCAATTTAATGAAAGTTCAGTCAAATTTTCTACAAAATTCCTGGATGCTTGTAATTGATTTTCTTGTGAAGAATGAAGAGGATTGCTGGCTTGCCGTTGATTTGAGGAAACATCTGATAATTTTGGCAGCAATGAGAAGCCTCTGTAACGCATGGCCAGTGCATCTGTCCCAAGCTGGAAAAGGGAAATAGTAATTTAAATTTTCATTTACATGACTTTGAGCCTTGCATGAAATTCAAGCTAAATTTACTATGTAAATGAAAATTTGATAAAACCTCCAAACATTTGCTTTTTACTGTAGAACTTGTTTGAGAAATTTTTACTTGAGAACTTGTTTGTTACTGTAGAAAAATGTTTGAGAATGACTTACAAGATTCCCACTTATATAAATAAAAATTAACAAGTAAAAACAGCTTTAATGAAATAAAAATCTGACCTTGAAGTTATTTCTGTGGCTATGTCACTCATTACTAATAACCATTCAAACGTGAATACATATAGTATTTCATTCACCTATATTTAATATAAATTAAATATGAATGAATATTTGAACACTAAGAGACCACAAATTAAGACAGTGGCATGAGCACAGCATCTGAAGCATATTTTCACAGCTAGATATTTTAATAGATTGCAGAGAGAGATCTCATCTTAAAATAAATGTTAAAATCTTTTTAGTTTAGGCAAAATTGACTCTATAGCAATTACACCAGTAACACTATAGTGATAACACCAGTACATAACAGTATAGTGATAACACCAGTTATTGATAACACCAGTAACAGTATAAATATGAAGTAACATTGGCAATATCGGGTCACGTACCGAGCGATGAATTAGCAGGTTGAGGATGTGTTGTTGATGCACTGTTGAACAATGCAGCATTGAGGCTGACAACACAGACTCTACGTCTGCTAGACCTTCTTGCAAGGACTCCATGGTTTGCGTGACTAAAGCTGGTTACTCAGAAGCTTAAACTTTAACCAATGAGTATATACATAAATGATCCTGGATAAATCATTATGAAAAGTGCATGCAATTTGATCTGACTTTATTATTGTTGTTTTGAAGACCTGAAATTAAGTGACAAATTTTACCATGACAATGAGTTAACAGACTGCAGAAAGTGGCAGGATATTCTTATTAACTTAGAAACATTTCACTGAAAAATGAAGCATCAAGACAATTTTGGCAATATTATGAACAGACGAGAGTTTGATGCTAAGATTGAAGCTAAGATTTTAAAAGATGAAATTTAATAAACATCCCCACAACAGACATTTTACAATATTGACAAGCCACTTGATTAAGATTAAAAATCTCAACTTAGCATTAAATATAGATGTTGATTTGTAGATTATAGATAAAATATATACCTACCTACATAAAAATTTCCCTTTATAATCACAGGACTTCCAATGTTTCAGAGATAAAGCCCAGGTAGCAAGCATACAATGAAACTATGTTGGGAAATGGCTAACATTCCAGGTAGTAAGAAACAGGAAATCAATAAGAATAGGTAAAACTGGCCAGATTCACAGGCATTTTTGTCTAATTCATGGGTTACTCTTGCCCCATTTTACACTTTGGAGTTTAAATTAGAACCATTTTCCTATATTTGTAATCTTGGAATAGGGATTATTCATCTAGCAGGAAACTTGGGGGTCCAAAAATGGCTAAAAAAGCTTTAATTGGAGATGGATATGTAGATAGATTCCTGCCAGCTTCAGGCCTTCACCAGCAACCTGAACCTGGCAGGCTGGCAGGGTATATATGTGATAATGTGAATATGTCATATGTGCACAGTGCAGTTTCTAAGGAGTGTTAAGTGGTCCTAAAGTGGAGACAGTGGAAAGGCGTCAAAGGCCTGTGCCGTGGCAATAAATGAGCAATCTAGGTACATAGCTTGGAATTTTTTAAACAAGGACTGGCTGTGGCAAATGGTAATGGCATTGGAAAACATATTAATGGCTCAAAAAATAAAATAATGGCTTACAAAAAAAATTTAAGAACAAAAAATTGATAAACTTACTGAGTCTCTGACTGAAAAAATGGTATTACTTTAGATTAAGTGCATCCAAAAAAAGGGTGTTATTTTTTAATTATATGTTTTTTGGGGGGTGTAGATTAAGAATCTGAAATCCGTTTTTGGTGGTCAGCATCGGAAAACCGATTTTTTTTTTCGTATATAAATTAAAGCCTGAACGCGCCTAAGCTGCAACCTCCTGGGTGGTGTGGAATACCTTGGCGAAAAATTGGAAAAAATCAGAACATTTTTTTCGACTGGAAATGATCTATATCAATCTGGGAATGACTGAAAACCTATGTAAAACCCAAAAATCGCACTACGTTAGGTTAGGTTGCAGCTTAGGCGCATTATGGCTTTAATTTATATATGGAAAAAAATCGGTTTTCCTATGCCGACCACCAAAAACGGATTTCAGATTCTTAATCCACATCTCAAAAAAAAACCTTTTTTGGATGCAATTAATCTAAAGTATTACCAAAAAAAATCAAATTGTATTCCACTTTTTTTCTGTAAAGATATTTTATTTTATGTACCTTCCAGCTGCTCCTGCTGACCTAGCCTCCTAGGTACACCTGCAAGTTGCAGAAAATGAGAAAAGTGTCATCAAATTGAAGTTATTGAACATTTGCACTATGATGCCATGACTGTCATTATTTTCCATTATTTGTTCAGAAATGGAATTGTCATTTGCAGCATAATAAAAATGAATCTGGTAAACACACAGATTATATATATGACAGATACAAATCCAATAATGAATAATATGTATTTAAAATTTACTTTTTAAAATTAAAGACTACACTTCAAAATAGGCTGATGTCTCACAGTCTCAGTGTCTCAAATACACATGACCATGTACAATGAGTTTCTTATTTTATTTTGAACTATAGATAACAAAAATAGTTTATTACCTTTTCTTTATTTCATTAATTGAGTCAAAGTGGAAAGGCGTCAAAGGCCTGTGCCGTGGCAATAAATGAGCAATCTAGGTACATAGCTTGGAATTTTTTAAACAAGGACTGGCTGTGGCAAATGGTAATGGCATTGGAAAATATATTAATGGCTCAAAAAATAAAATATTGGCTTACAAAAAAAATTTAAGAACAAAAAATTGATAAACTTACTGACTCTCTGACTGAAAAAATGGTATTACTTTAGATCAAGTGCATCCAAAAAAAGGGTGTTATTTTTTAATTATATGTTTTTTGGGGGTGTAGATTAAGAATCTGAAATCCGTTAATTAAAAATTAAAATTAAATTAAAGCCTTAATGCGCCTAAGCTGCAACCTCCTGGGTGGTGCGGAATTATGGAATACCTTGGCGAAAAATTTTAAAAAATCAGAAAATTTTTTTTTTTTACTGGAAATTATCTATATCGATCTGGAAATGACTGTAAACCTATGTAAAACCCAAAAATTGCACTAGGTTAGGTTAGGTTAGGTTGCACGTTGCAGCTTAGGGCTTAGGCGCGTTATGGCTTTAATTTATAAACGGAAAAATCGTTTTTCCGATGCCGACCGCCAAAAATGGATTTCCGATTCTTAATCTACCTACATCTCAAAAAAACATATAATTAAAAAAACACCCTTTTTTTGAATGCAATTAATCTAAAGTATTACCAAAAAATCAAATTGTATTCCACTTTTTTTCTGTAAACTTGTAAAGATATTTTATTTTATGTACCTTCCAGCTGCTCCTGCAGCCTGCTGTCCTAGCTCCTAGCCTCCTACCGAGTACCGCCTCCTGCTCCTAGGTTATGAGGCATTGAGGCTAGGCTAGGTACACCTACAACTATAAGTTGCAGAAAATGAGAAAAGTGTCATCAAATTCAAATTGAACATTTGCCCTATGATGCCATCCATGACTGTCATTATTTTCCATTATTTGTTCACTAATAAGACTCCTACTAGGCTATACGCAAGTCAGCAGGTGTGCAAAATTTCAGATGAATTGGACAGCCTGGACAGGTAGAAACTAGAACGTAGAACGGTAGAAGTGTGATAAATATTTATGAAAAGATTTGTAGCAGACAGACAAACAACATGAAGTCATCATCGGTCAATGGTAATGAACTTGAATTTCTTGAAGTTGAAGAAGTGAAGCCGAAGGTGACGACTGTGAAGTTACCTAAATAGAACTGAGAAGTGTGGTAATAAAAATGAACGTGCTCTATCCCTCTATCTTTTGACTTTTGAGGATCATAACTGCTCACGTGAATGACGTGAAATCACGTGATGGACCAGAATTGTTGGCAATTATGTTTTTGAGACAATGAATCACAATCATCAGTTCATCACATCAGTTCATGGAAAGTCCTAAACTGAAGCTGGGTTTACGAGTGTCGGGTAGTCTTAGGCCTATTCGTCATATGATGAATGATGATACGCAACAACCTGTACGTTTGAAGAAGGAGCGATGTTGTTCTACAACCTAAACTGCGGACAACTGGAAACCGATTAAATAAATAATACTGTCCGATTTTTATATGCCAAATTAACTTAAAATTTGAATCTAGTAACATATTAGAAATACACATAATAAACATATAATTTTGACAATGAAGAAATGATCCGAAGATGAATCAAATGTGAATTATTCCGTATAATATAAATAGTCTTAGGCCTATTCGTCATATGATGAATGATGATACGCAACAACCTGTACGTTTGAAGAAGGAGCGATGTTGTTCTACAACCTAAACTGCGGACAACTGGAAACCGATTAAATAAATAATACTGTCCGATTTTTATATGCCAAATTAACTTAAAATTTGAATCTAGTAACATATTAGAAATACACATAATAAACATATAATTTTGACAATGAAGAAATGATCCGAAGATGGATCAAATGTGAATTATTCCGTATAATATAAGACCTAACAAAATCGACTGTACCTCATTACTTTGATTGATAGTGATAACACACTAACAATTTGAGCTGCGAAAATTTCCAACCCTATTTATAATAAAAATAAACTGATTGGCTAAATTCAATAAAATAACTACAGTGGTTTTATCTTTCAAGATATGTCCTAGGTTTTCTTTATAAATAAATCTCTAAGTTTTAGAGTGCTTGAGGAATTTTTAAAAAACAGATAGCTCAGTTTCCTATATTTTACATCATAAATTACGTTCGGATAACTAATGTGACTGGGGCGTTTCGGTAAATGTATACGACATGTTTGAGGCTATCACACATTTATTATATGTAGTATCATGTTGAAGGCAACATCCGATGTATATGACAAAATTTTTGGATCATTCTTGAAGAATTGTGACAGCTTTTCAAGTATTTGACTTCTCCATGATTATATAATAGGAAAATGTACCGTTTATTTGAACGGTTTCCTTGCGACATTGAACACAACGACCAAAATTAAAGTTCTTGGGACCCTGCATGGATAATTTAACTGCAAATATTTATTCTTTTTTGAACTTTTTCATTTATTTGGATTCAGAAACACTCGAGTAATAAGTCCCTAACATCACACTAATAAAAATGAGTGAGAGACTTTGTCCGAATAGTGGACCACTTTCCGCCCTTGTGTTTCCTAGTTTAGTTTGGCCCATATATTAATGTGTATGACTACTTGGATATTAAGTCCCACCTATTTCTTTAATATCATCTCATGAGCACCAGAGGTGTTAGGCTCAGAAAGATTGGTGCAGTGATTTGCGTGTTCGAGCCTCAGCTGGCTGTGAAAATTTCTGTAATTTTTTTTTAATTGCCACCAGTCCATACTTCGCCTAACCACAACTTTACTGTTCTATATTTAAATTACAGCACACATAACTTCCAGTCATCCAGTAGCTATTGGATGAAATAGCGGTTTCGGCGTTTATTAGGCCTTAGGCCTGTCGCCGTTTCTTAATGTCGCAGAACATCCACAGCTTGTTGCGGTCTCGAACTCGCAACTCACTGCTACAATTCTGCTGTGCTTAACCGCCCGGCCTCCTTGCCGATTCTGACCAGAAACTGACTCACAGAGCTGGGATCGAACCCGCGCCTCTCTGCTCCAGTCTTGGTACTCTGAACTTTAAAAATAAAAAAAAATAAAGTAGTTATTAGTTAAGTAGTGATTAATACGGCCGTACACTCAATTAAATTAATGTGTCATATTTTCCTAATAGATACACACAGCACGAGATGAGAGCGGACGTATCACAGATACGCGCTTTTGCCGGGTCAAACCGAGTCAGGACGACCCATACACGGACGAACGTGTATCGCATTCAGAAATGTACGAGCAGGTAAAGGGAAATGAATAATAACTGTTATAATGAGCTGTATTATATATGGTAAAGACGCTAACATATTCACATATTGTACACGTCAAAATATTATAGCGCTTATCTTAAAACTTTATATGACAATGATACAGAGAAATAACAATGACGTCATAAGCTCATAGTCCAATCACCATTCAGGTCACAAGTACGCTGACCAATCACCATTCAGGTCACAAGTAAGCTGCCCAATCACCATTCAGGTCACAAGTAAGCTGACCAATCACCATTCAGGTCACATGTAAGCTAACCAATCACCATCCAGGTCACAAGTACGCTGACCAATCACCATTCAGGTCACAAGTAAGCTGACCAATCACCATTCAGGTAACAAATTAGCTGACCAATCACCATTCAGGTCACAAGTACGCTGACCAATCACCATTCAGGTCACAAGTTAGCTGACCAATCACCATTCAGGTCACAAGTAAGCTGACCAATCACCATTCAGGTAACAAATTAGCTGACCAATCACCATTGTAAGCTAACCAATCACCATTCAGGTCACAAGTAAGCTGACCAATCACCATTCAGGTCACAAGTAAGCTGACCAATCATCATTCAGGTCACAAGTAAGCTGGCCAATCATCATTCAGGTCACAAGTAAGCTGACCAATCACCATTCAGGTCACAAGTAAGCTGACCAATCACCATTCAGGTCACGTATAAGCTAACCAATCACAGGCCATAGAGACTCAATTAACTATATTGAACTTACGACAATCATATGGAATGGAATTATAGTGATGTGTTTATAAATAAATTCGTGAAAAACACTTGGAAAACAGGAAGTTAAATGCAGAGTTGAAACAATAGCAGAAGGTCCGTGAAAATCACTTTATTGTCTCTAATTTGATAAGTACACGAAACTAAAAATATATCAATATATATGCACAAAAAATAGGAAAAGTTATGTTCATGGTGCATAGACATAAAATCTATTTGCTAGAATAAAATTCTTATTGAGGGGAATCATTTTTCTAGAAAAAAAATGTTTTTTTTTTTCAGCGGAGAATGCATTATTTGTTTCATTACATACATTAATTCCTAATACAATAACAAACATAACAACAAACAATTGAAAAATATGCACAACAAGGTCAACTACCCGTTAATTATAATGCCCAGTGGATCTAAATGATTAATTTTTATACTCAAACTTCGTCTTTTAATTTTTTATGATATATCAGAATGCTCTCCCAAAAATTCATTAGTTTGTTAAGCAATATTCTCGCAAACTATGATCGTTAAAAGAAACTAGAAAACTACCTCAATTATAGTGAGAAACTTGAAATCTATTACCAATATTATAACAGGTTTTACAGTTTAACAGGCTATAACCTGGTCATCTCACAATATTTCTTTAGCTACTTTGACTACATCGAGTTCAGTTTTCAATTAGGTGCGAGCACGTCAAAACACGTTAAAACATCTTCAGATCTGGCAAAAAATATTTTAAAAAGTCAAAACATGGTTAAGACACGTCTATACGTGCACATTCTTGTCAAAACTCGTCCATATATGTTCAAGCACGTTCAAACGTGTTCAAACAGCCCTTATACCTCAAACATCAATAAAAGTTGTAAAGTAACTCAAGTGATCACATGAGACAGCATAAGTCGAAAATAGACTGACCAAATATGTAGGTAACAATGCTATAAGAACAGTCAAACTAAAACCCCCCTTGTGGGAGTCCAACTAACCCTCCTCACTTGCTGTAACTAAAACTAAAACGTGGTGCTAAAAACCTCATCCCCTCCCCCCATTTATGGGGTTAAATTATATCCCCTATTGATGGTAATCCTGAGACAAAATGTCGGGTAACTGGCGATCTGGATGAGACTCATTTCGAGTCCCACAAGCTTCACCCACTCATTACTGGCCTTTATATTCAAAGAACAATTATTTATAATTAATTAATAGACATTTTTTAATTATGGGCATAGAAGCGTATAACTAACTAAGGTATGCACAATAAAAACTTGATCGAGTCATGTTTCATCACAATAGATATAATATATGCTGACTCATGATCAGGATGAACATTGTTGAACAAAACAATACCTACGTAGCAGTTATGGAATAAATGGCAATTACTCGTTGCATTTGCACATGTCGGTGAAAATAACAATTTAGTGCGATTTGGTACAGTAATAACAAGTGGACATGACTCACGGTGTCGGTTAACAGCACTAAAAATAACAATTTCGTTGGATTTAGTTCTGCATTCACGCAATGTCGACTATTTGCGACATTCGTGTGACATATTGCGTTAAAAAGTTCAGTTTTCGAGTTATTATTGCGTAGGATAAACTCATCACTATCTTTGTGCGTCTGTACAAACATTACTGGCCTTTATATTCAAAGAACAATTATTTATAATTAATTAATAGACATTTTTTAATTACGGGCATAGGAGCGTATAACTAAGGTATGCACAATAAAAACTTGATCGAGTCATATGGTATAGCAATAGATATAATATATGCTGACTCATGATCAGGACGAACATTGTTAAACAAAACAATATCTACGTAGCAGTTATGGAATAAATGGCAATTACTCGCTGCATTTGCATATATCGGTGAAAATAACAATTTAGTGCGATTTGGTACAGCAATAACAAGTGGACATGAATCGCGGTGTCGGTTAACATCACTGAAAATAACAATTTCGTCGGATTTAGTTCTGCATCACGCAATGTCGACTATATGCGACATTCGTGTGACATATTGCGTTAAAAAGTTCAGTTTTCGAGTTATTATTGCGTAGGATAAACTCATCACTATCATTGTGCGTCTGTACAAATTACCTCACATAATCATTTTGAGTCATATGATACTGTTGTGCATCAACAATAACTGAAGTATATCCTGGCTGCATAGGGGCCTTGTTTTCTGAAGCTGAACCTAATGTTGTAGCTGGCAACCCACTCATGACGGATGCTGATATGGAACTCATTATGCTTGCCGAAGAAGAACCGTTCGCACTTTCACCAACATCCCGACTTGCAGGAGGATCGCAACTTTGTTGATGATGGATGTGTTGTGTCTGGGAATTCGATTCTCTTTGGCACGAGTTTCCTCGCACGGAAGTGGAATTTGATTGCAAAACGCTCGCGGTTCTTGAAAATACGTTTTCAGTTTCAGAGCTTGAAGATTTGGCAACACCGTGGCAGTCTAGAGATTCATCCGCTGGTGGACGTGGCCCAAAGTCGTTGCCGAAAACGCTGCTACCTGTTCTTCGTTGGTTGTTGTCGGTTATGGTTTCTGTTCCCCCAATATCAATTGACAAGTGTCTCGTGCTGAGAATACCTGGCACGTTAGAGCCAGACTGTGATCTGACAAAATCATAAGCCAGTGATGTCGTTTGTGACGCGTAAAGTTGGTTACTGCCATACATTCCACGAGTTGTGTGGGACGTTTCAGTGATGTTGGAGGTATCACTGTTTTCCGTCGTTTTTTCTTCACTCAGAGAAGACCCTGAAATATCAGAATCTGAAGGACCCAATGCAGTGGAGATGCTTGTTATCTGGATATCATCATTCTGATTCTGGTCATGTGAAGTCGCTGCATCACCATGCCTAGGTTTCGTCGAATGCTTGGGACTAGATTCACTGGAGGTAGACAAGCTTTCTGAAAGATCAGAAGTAGGGTAACTTAGCATCAACCCGTGAGAGGTATGGACTTGCGTGTGAAGTGACATATGCAAACTTTGGTGAGACAAATGAGCTTCCTTGGAGCCATGTAGCTGTCCTGATGATTTGGTAATATCACAAAGGGATTTATCAGGGTCATGAGGGATGGCTTTATCGTAGTACTTGTCGCACGCGTAGTATTCAAGGTCGTACATTCCGGACGCAGACCCGAAACTGTTTTGTTGTGATAACGTGTTATTGTTGTCGCTTGGGTGTAGGTTTTGTTGCACCGAGTGATGTTGTAGATACTCATTTTGATGATGCTGATGGTTTTGATGATGCTGTTGCTGAAGTACATTAAGATGACTTCCGCCGTTTGGTATGGAGTGAGAAAGTGTTCCACCAGACACGCCATTGGAGAGGAAGGTAGGGTTTTGGTGTATCACACCACCAGGAGGACAGTCATACCTAGGATCTTCAGACGAGGATGAGGAACCTGAACCTTGACTCCAAGGTCTACCTTCGTCGTATAAGGAACAGAGGGAATTGGCTATGGGGAGGCAAGGGGCTGGGGCAGCAGTTAATGGGTAGGTTACTGGGATACTGTGGGGCTGAACTGGACTGTTGGGGTTGTAGATGTGACTTAACGCCCCTCCCCCTGCTGCTGAATGATGGTGAGGGTGATGGCTGTTGTTGTTATGGTACCGAGGGTCATCATACGAGTCATAAATGGAATGTGGTACTGGGTAACAACTAGCTGGGTAAATGGTAGGTGAACTGTTCATGATACCAGGGTACGGGTTGCTAACCAAACTGCCTGGGACTGATGGGTTGGACAAAGCTGCTGACTCCATCCCTGCTCCAACGGGCATCGCAGGCAGGGATGGAGAAGTCTCCATGTTGGAGGAATCCAAGTCTGTTAATGGAGATGGACTGGAGTTTGGAGTCAAATGCTTGAGTCTGTTGGTTGGAGCAGAGGTAGCAGACCGTAAACCATCAGACCACGACTCTTCGCTTCTGTTGTTCGCGCCAAGTTGTTCCCATGACAAGAAATGGTTCCGCACTTCCACGTCACTGAAAAATTAGGATCCGTCAGTTAGTCAGAAAGTAAAATGATAATAATTTACAATAATAATAATAATAATAATCATAGTAATGCAGTGGGATCCGCAGTGATTTGGCCTCGTTGGCCTTAACTACAGGCCACCTTGCTGATTCTGACCAGAATTTTCAGCTCTAATTGCGGGTTTTGAACCCCTAACTTGCTGCTCCATGTAGGGTGATCCTTACCACAATTGGCAAACCAAGGATATCAATGCATGAAAAGTAACAGGAAATACAAGCAGGCTGCGTTAAGATGTTAAAACTAAAATTTTAATTTTAATAAATAAAAGTTAGAGCCATGAAGTAAGAAGTCAGGAGTTGGTTAAGAAGTTAAAGAATTATCGCAAGTGTTTAAAATCACGACACATATATATTTTAATTATAAAATCGAAGAAAATCATCAACAAAAAGTTTAACAGACGAAAATTCATCGGAATTAAAAAATCAGAAGCAAAATCGACTGAAGATATTGAAATTCCATTGCGCATCACGAATGTCAACGACGAAAGATTTACCACCACGATCGGGTACGAAATATTCATGTATTTGTACAGCTTCAGTTGGGGTAAGAAAAACACATAATTTCCTACGAAAAAAAGGACTTAACAGCGTGATCATAAGTAAAATTCAAATTACAGAAACGCAATTAAAATTACTGGAAAATTTTTGAAGGGGGGATTGGTAGGATGAGTTTGGGAAGGGTTGGAAGACGTTGAGTCCCCTTCAGCTGAGGACGTAATGACCAAGTCCCCTTCACCTGAGGACGTAATGACCAAGTCCCACTCACCTGAGGACGTAATTAACAGCGACGATGCAGTGTGGACGGGACGACCGGGAGTTGTGGACGATGGTGGCGTAGGTCTGGACCCACACCCACCCCCCGCTCTGGGTGAGGAACCTGTAGTACTTGCTGGTCACCTGCCCCTTCAGCAGCACTGCGGGGGACCACATGCGGGTGAGATATATGGGTATGGACCACACTTTTCTTACCACAGAAAAATGCATGGGTAATATTTTCCAAATAGTGGGACACTTTCCTTACCCACAGATATATGCATGGGTCACATTGTCCAAATAGTGGCACACTTTCATCACCATCAGAAAGATGCATGGGTAATATTGTCCTGATAGTTCACTTCACTTACCAATAGAAAATGCATGGGTCACGTATTCCAAGCATTGTGACACATTTTATTTACACACAGATAAATACGTGGGTAATATTGTCCAAAGAGTGACACACTTTCCATACCCACAGAAAAATGCATGGGTCATATTGTCCTAATAGTGACACATTTTCTTACCCAAAGCACGGGCAGTGAGAGCGGGCGTAGCACTGATACGCCCTTTAGCTGGGGCAAACTGAGTCAGGATGACCCACACAAGAGCAAAAAAAGTCATCGCTATTTATACTATTTAGAGTCCCACTCATTCTCTGAGTAAAGCATTTTGAAATTTAGGTTATATGATAATAGTGATGCAAAAGAGTGAATAATGTAGTGCTTTATAAATGTGACACATCATCATCATGTTTATAAAAGTGTGTACATCAGCTCCCCAGCTACGGCCAGACGTACGACAGCTACTGTTCTCCCCGCCTTTTTTCACCGACTGCCGGACGGCTTTTCTTAGTTTCTGCTCACTTGACTGCATTACGCTATGAAAAGATGATCTATACGAGTTGTGAACTAACTTAACCTAACCTAACCTAATTCGGATAAGCATCAAAGGTCTGCGAGAAAAGCCTCCAGTTAGCCATGCGATAATGGTGGAGAGTCGGGGTAAGTGTGGGGGAAAGAAGATGCTGGGGGATAGTAAGGCCGGGAAACAGTGACGCGGGGTTCATGTCTTGCGGATTAAGTAAGGTGATGACGCANGTCAACACACGGGCTACTGTCAACACACGGGCTACAGTCAACACACGGGCTACTGTCAACACACGGGCTACTGTCAACACAGGGGCTGCTGTCAACACACGGGCTACTGTCAACACACGGGCTACTGTCAACACAGGGGCTACTGTCAACACACGGGCTACTGTCAACACACGGGCTACTGTCAACACAGGGGCTGCTGTCAACACACGGGCTACTGTCAACACATGGGCTACTGTCAACACACGGGCTACTGTCAACACACGGGCTACTGTCAACTTAGGGGCTGCTGTCAACTTAAGGCTTCTGTCAACTTGGAGCTACTGTCAACTTAAGGCTACTGTCAACTTAAGGCTACTGTCAACTTAAGGCTACTGTCAACTTAAGGCTACTGTCAACATAAATGAGGCGCATGTCGAGAGAGGCCCTGAACATGTACCTGGCATCGAGGAATATAAGGCGCATGTCGAGAGAGGCCCTGAACATGAACATGTTCGAGTGCATCTTTATTTCAGTGATGGCGGAGGGGGGCAAGGAGTGTCCCACGGCCACGAGCCCCACGTTCTGGTAGCAGGTGTCGTAGGGTGTGGTCGCGTGGTCCATGGGGTACCGTCTCACCTTCAGGTACCCCGAGCAGTGGATCACCTGAAGGTACCAGTTGCGTCAGCATATATACCTTAAATGTAGGCAAACAGGCACACTGAATGCACACGAAAACCTTAAGCACACAAAATATCCAGCGTACACTGAAGACAGAAATCTGACCGCCTCATTGTTGCTCATAGGAGATATTCTGCTCAGTGCTATATTCCTCTGTGAACTTGATCAAGAAATTCCAAAATTCGTGACCTGCAGTCCGATTACCATATTTCATTCGTACAGAAAGATAAATCTCGTCTATATAACTTCTCATGTCCAATATGTACAGTGTTAAGTTTTCAGTCTCTAGCAGTGGGTTTGGTTTCGATGTCCACAGATCATTGCCATGAAGGCACTCTCGATTGCTGGTAAATGTCTCAATGCAATCACCGCGCCAACGGGGACCGCACATAGATGCAGCACAGCTGGCAGCAGTACTCCTGAATAAGGACCAAAAAAAGGCGCCCAACGGAACCTAACCCGTCTTTTTCCCGAAACGAACGGCAGACTCCCCCCATCGTTTCACCTGCATCATATAATCACTTCCATGTTGAAGAATACGAAGTGGGATTGCTACTCATCATCACTGCAAGTTTAAGAACATGTTGGGATTCATAAATTGCTGTGCCGTCAATTGCCAGGTAGCGATTCTGAATTCCAACTTCTTTTTCGCCTCAATATCTCAATTCCCAACATTTTGTGCCGTTAGATTGTACGCTGTTCACTTCGGCCTGCCCGGTCGTATATAGTGGCCAGGTCGCTGACGATGTCGATGATGTTGACTTCACACACCAAATACAATTTTTCCCATCCAAATCGCACTCACCTTTCAAATCTCCAAACTTGCTCACCCGTCACTCACCTTATACCCGCCGGTGGTGAGACCAGCGTTGCGTTTAGCGAGGACACACTTCATGCGGATGAGGAAGGTTCGCTCCTCATCCTCTTCTGCAATGGGACAACCACATTAGGCCTTGCGAGTTCAAAACACAACATTAAATCCATACCACATTGATAAAATGTATTCGTTTCCACCTGTTTATAGTGCAGCCTGCGAATTAAAAGCATTCTGAAAGGCGACATATTGTACAACTGGGCGCTAAGGGGTTAACAATTATAGTTGGTCAGAATACACTTACATTGATGTAGTTACCCCAACACAAATTAAGGTATGATAGAGACTCTGCGACAGATTCGCTATAGTTGGGGTAATGTCGCTGTAGTCATTGTGCGTATGGGTAAACAGACTGTTTTCCGATACGCACATGTGAGGCAACAAACCTTGACTAATCATGCTGTAGGTGCTTATATTATGTTGGTGTATACATTAGTTGACCCCAACCAAACTTCCAACGCCTACAGCGAACCTAATTATGCATATATGTATATAGTGGCACCATATATAGCTCCTTTCTCCTCCTTCTCTATCATCTCATTCACTTTTCCGGCCACTCCTGCAGTGCCACTCTACGCGGGGGTAGAGTGCTCTACCATCTACCTATGCTCCCTTCTACATATATAAATACAACTTATAAATATAAATGAATAAATGAATATATATGTGTGCTTTTTTATAATAAAATACTGCATAAAGACACCTTCAGGTTAATCTGGCAATACTACCCCTTATTGCATTCATCTAGAATAAATATTTATTTCAGTTATAGAACATTTTCATCCGTACATTCGATTGAAGATCCACCAGGTGGAAAACTAATCTTCTTCTATACCATACATGTGATCGAATATTCGCCAGCTGGAAAATTAATCTTCCTTTCGTCTGTAAATCCGATTGAATAACAACCTGGCGAATGAATAATTTATTGCTTTCGTCTAACCAATGAAATATCCACTAGGAGAAAAACTAATATCTTCTTCGTTTATCGATGGAATAATCATCTTTTCTTCCAAAAATCCGATTGAATAACAACAACCTGGCGAACAACTAATATAATTCTAATGCCAATTTCAGATCAATTATCCGCCAGGCGAAGAACTAATCTTTTTTCCATTCGTCCGATCGAATATCAATCAGGCGGAAAAGTAATCTACTTTTCCTTTCGAAAATGCGATCGCATATTCGCCAGGCGAAAAAATAAAACGGTTTTCATCCGAATATCCCCGCGAATTAAACCAGATGTTTAAACAATCTTATTAAATACGGCATGATTACTTTCTTCGCCGGGTAAATTTTATAAAAAAAAATTTAAACCACAATTAGGAAATGAAAAAGAATTAGCTCATCAGTCCCAGGATTTTTTACCCAAAATTTTAATCATCCACAATTTTACGAAAAAAACAACATTGATCAACAGGAAAAAATTGATCCAGATAACCCCGTTATCCTGAACCCCGTTATCCTGCACCCTGTTATCTTGAACCCCGTTATCCCGAACCCCGTTATCCTGAACCCCGTTATCCTGAGCCCCGTTATCCACGTTATCTTGAACCCCGTTATCCTGAACCCCGTTATCCTGCACCCCGTTATCCTGAACCCCGTTATCCTGATCCCCGTTATCCTGAACCCCGTTATCCTGAACCCCGTTATCCTGAACCCCGTTATCCCGAACCCGGCCGTTGTAAATTTCAGGCAAAAAAAATCCTAATCAGAATTGAACTCCAGTTTATCGTAAAATTTTCGTTTCAATTAAGACAACAAATTAGTAAGGTATAATGTTCGCTAATAAAATCAAAATACCAAATCAAAGCTAAAAATATATAAAATTTTCGCACGAGTTGCCCTGAGCTGCCAGTTCTGCAGCGTTTAATTGATATTTTCATATTAGGAATAGTTTTTTAATAAATATATGAAAGAAATTTTGAAATAAAAGGCTTTTAAAAATACTCGTAAATAAATGATACAATGTAGCTTGTGAAATTTGCTTAGTTATTTTATTTATTATACCTGATAAAGTACATAATACCTATATTTAATTACATTTCTATACGGCTATTTATATATATACGGCTATTCTATTTATATTATACGACTACGTATTTGAATAAAAAATTATATTTTCAAATACGTTTTCTGTGCATTTTTTTTGTACAAAAAAAAAATTCTCTGTGTAATGCACAGGCAAGTTGATTTTCGTATTTTTCAGGATCCGTAAAAATAGGATTTCAGGAAAATAAGATCCGTAAACCTTGAGCCAAACTAACCCTCCCCTCTTCTTCATTTTAAAATTGAATACCTGTGATACAAATTAAAATATTAATTATTCGGTTCGAAATAAGCTTTATCCTGAAAAAAAAATTCGCTGCAGTGAGCAAAAATCCAAAATTAAAGGCTATGGATATTCCATGTCACGCTGACGTGTTGTGGCTACCAGCACGCACGTATCATAGCGCACCAGTAAACCACAGCGCCGTATATAACACCGTATATAACGTATCAAATTAAAGTTATGTGCCGTCACAAGCTCCCGCTGGTGCGCCTCTATTCTATTCAAACGCAATGGCATCTCATTAAGGCGCACACGGAACAAAGCGCCTCGCCGACCCTTATTTGTCAGCCGTGTGACGCACTCCCCCCGCCAGCCAATCATATCGCTCGATCTTTGCCTCTGTCTCGGCTGCGCCAATCAATACTCGCGATACTGCGGGCGGTAGGGGGCAGCTGCCAATCACAGCCTTGATCTCTCGAGAGGTAGCGAGGCGTGAGGAATCTCGGCGATCTCATTGGCTAGGATTTTGGCGGTGGGGATTAGATCGCGCAGAGTTGCCATGTACCAATTTTGAACACAGTTCAGTTGCCTAATGTTGCCACATTCCTCACAGGAATAATGGACTGGCAGCAGTTGTGTCGAGTAAATCCTAAAGAGGAGATGGCAGGATTTATGCGTGACGGAGGCATAGTTGACAGAAGTGATTTGTAGGCGTTTGCTTTGGGGATTTGGTGGGACTAGGACGGTTGTCGGGTAAACGAGACGGGGATTTGTGAGGAAGAACTGCCAGACGACTCAGCTTTAGGCCTACGCAGGCAACTTTATGGCCTTCCGACGCAAACTTTTGTATGTTGAGAGCAACTTTGCGCTTGATTTTTGCGCTGTAATCAGTTAGTAAATTAAGGGATCGTTTTGCAGTAAAATGAATTTAATTTTGGAAGAAATTTTTGTTATATCAGTACTCATTTCGATAAAGAATCATCACATATCTAATGCACAGACTATGACAATTTAGTATAAAAAATGGGATTAATATGCTTATCATTTTTACATAATTAATGATTATATAATAATTCTAGTAACAATCGGTATTTCTCATTAGCATAGCTTTAATCTAATCTTTTTATCACCGATACCTCCTTAGAAGAATTAGTCTTAGACTAGTTAGGATTATTGTATATGAATAAATAACAATATAAATGTAAAAATAAATAATTATATCATAATAAATAAAAAGTGCTAAAAAAATAAGTAAAATATAGTATAGAAGAATATAGTATAGTATAGAAAAGAATAAGTAAAACTTGACTTAGAACTTCTCGGCTGAACAGGTTGATGTCGTTGCAACTCAACTTAATTGAAGGCCAACTAAAATGAACTTAAAATTACGTTTAAAAAAACTATGCTTAACTATAAGTACTAAAACTATGTTAAAAACAGGGTTTAAAAACCCTGTGATAAATAAGCGATTTAAGTGAAATCTTTCTTACATCAAATGAAGTCATAAATTATCGTCTTATTGTAAATTTTATTAATAAATTTGCTAAAATAATTCATATTCATTTTTGCTTTCTCTCAATGAGATACATTTTTCACATTTCCTTATAAATGGAAATGTACTATAAATGAAACTGCTACTGTATTTTTATTATATATGTATGAAACTTGTCCTGCACTATCGCAGATTATGATAAGTAAATTTTAGTATTTTTTTATTATAATTATAATAATAATTATATAATTTATTTATTAAAATGAATTTCAGCGCTGGCCCATAGATGGCCAACCAAACGCCGCCTCTGAAAGTTTAGTGTATGCCGGAACACAGGAGGGCTGTGTAGTTGTATTAATGTACCTGCCCACACTCACCACCGTATCATGGATACCCACACGCATAAGACACAAACAATAAAATATGTGTGATAATTTAATAAATATGATAATAATATAAATGTGAAATAGTGATAATAATGAAATAATTCCTAAATATTTATTAGGACTTTGAAATTTTTAAAATTTTTATATAATAATCGATTGATTATAGGAATAAAAAGAATTAATGTTGTGACGATCACTTACTTATTTGTTGCTTAATTTTATAATTAGAAAGAAAATGCAAGAAGAATAAATAAAAATATTAAAAAATATATAAATGAACATTAAATGACAAATATACAATAAATATATAACAAGATAGAAAATTAAATAAAAAATAATAGATAATGAATAATTTTTTATAAGTATTATATATTGAAAATATAAAAATTAAAATAAAAGAAGAAATAAATAATAAAAAAACAAATGAGAATTTTTCAAACCAATCATACATAACAAATAACCAAATTATAAATATAAAGCAAAATAATATGCATTGAATAATATGTAATAAATACTATATACAATACATAACACATAATATATAACATATAACACATGATATGTAATATATATTAATAATATACGTATATTATATAACACATAACATATAATATCTAATATATAATATAAAACTTTGAACATATATACAACATAACACATAATATATAACATATGCATGTATAACATAGAACATGTAACATAGAAAATGTAACACATAATACATAATATATAATATAAATATATAACATAACAAGACCCTGACCTGGCTGAGCCCCAGATATAATATATAACAAATAACACATAATATCTAATATATAATATATAACATAGAACATATAACACCCAAATAAATAACGTATATTATATAATATATAATATATAACGAATAACACATAATATATAATATATAATATATAACATAACACAAGACCCTGACCTGGCTGAGCCCCAGATGCGTGCTCGCGGTCTCGCTGATGTACATGATCTTGCCGTCCGGCGCTACCACGTAGATGAAGCCGTCCAGGGTCTGCAATACAGACCAGGTCATACAGCCATCCACTGCAATNTGGAGTGGGAGAGGGGGGTGTGGGGCAGGATGGGGGAGGTTGGCAAGCGGCAGCGCAGTTCGGCACGCTCGCTGCCGTCGGCAGGCAAAATAAAGCAGCGTTGCTATGGGACGTGAGCGACACTCAGAAAAATAAGCGAATTGATGCCTCAATCCTGACGTACGATGTAGTATCTTAGTATGTCGTATAACACATGAAAAATAATGTGTTATATTGTCTAAATACTGACACACTTTCTTACCCATGCACAGCCAGAATCGAACGCTGACGTATCACTGATACCCAAACTGGGACAAACTGGGTCAGGATGACACACACAAGAGCTAAAGGGCATCGTTCATTTAAACAACGACCCCCGCATTTACTTATAAGGACAATATATGAGTTAATCAATAGCATTATCATAATAATCATATCCCGTCTATCATAAAATAGCATAAATTGAAAATTATTGAAATGAAGCAGGCTTTTATTAATGGCTAAATAAAATTGATTGTTTTAATATATTATTGAATACATATACTTATAGCTGATGGTGAGTAATATAATAATATAGTAATATAATAATATAATAACTCATAATATTTTATATTGGACAAATATGGGTCAAGGCAACCCACCTGGAGGAGGTGTGATCCCAGCTCCCTCATGGCGGCCTCCCTGGGGTTGTGGGAGGGAGGGGCAGCTCCCCACGCGTCCCCCAGCCCTATAGAATAATAATATTAATAAAAACGAATATAACTTTTATGAACAACAAAATCAACGTAAGATTTTTTTCGCATATCATCAGAGTATTCATAAATTCCTAGTTGGCAACCGAAACGATCCGATGCCAGAGCTGTTTTTTTTTTATTTTTTTAATCGAACGTCACATTTTTATAGATGCATCAGGAGTAATTTCTGCTGATTATTTTTTTGAGTATATTTATAGTTCATTAGATTCACATTATGTCCATTATTCATAATGGCAACGTTATATTCATAAATGCCTAGTTGGCAACCGAAACAATCTGATGCCGGAGCATTTTTTTTATTTTTAATCGCACGTCATATTTTTATCGATGCCATATAGGTTATTTCTGCTAATTGTTTTCTGGGTGATATTTATGGTACATTAGAGTCACGTTGTGTCCATTCATGTCAAACATTTACATATATCTGTCAATTATATAATATTTTATTAAATATATCAATATTATATGTTATATCAATATTTGATATAATATATATATGCGTGTTCGCAATATTTAACGAGAAATTCGTCTCTTGAATATAGTATATATGTGAATGTCATACACGAATGAATGTAATACATTCAATTATCAACGAACATTCGTCAATTTTGCACATTCGTGAATGTCTTAAATTCGTGAATTTCGTACTTACGTGAATGTTGTCATCCGTGAATGTCATAGATTCATGAATGTCGGACAGCTATCAATGTCGTACAATCGGGAATTCCACTTATTTTTCAATGTCGAAATTCGAGAATTTCACGCATTTTCAATCAATAATTAATGAATGTCGTAATTCGTGAATATTAATTTTTCTTAAATGTTGTAATTCGTGAATTTCATTAATGAATGTCGCACATTCGTAAATTTTACTTATTTTTCGATGTCGTAATTCGTGAATTTCACGCATCCTCAACATTAATGAATGTCGTAAGTCGTGAATTTCACGCATCCTCAAACATTAATTAATGAATGTCGTAATTCACGAATTAACGACAGTCGCGAATGTCGCCGATGGCTTTAAGGTCGTAAGGTTTAAGGTTTAGTCGTAAGGTCGTAAGGCAGCTGCCGCCCGCATGGGTCACGTTACATCATACGACACCGCGCGGGCCGTGTGTGGAAATAATCTATTAACGATATCGTTCCGGCAGCACATGGCCAAACGTACGACCGTCTATACGATGTCGTACCTCAGATTGTACGATGTCGTACCTCAGATTGTGCGATGTCGAACCTCAGAACGTACGATGTCGTACCTCAGATTGTGCGATGTCGAACCTCAGAACGTACGTTGTCGTACCTCAGCCGGACGTACGTTGTCGTACCTCAGCCGGACGTACGATGTCGTACCTCAGTTGGACGTACGATGTCGTACCTCAGTTGGACGTACGATGTCCGATCTTAGAGTTTACGATGTCGTACCTTAGCCGGACGTACGATGTCGTTTCAGCAGCACATGGCCAAACGTACGACCGTGTAAACGATGTCGTACCTCAGAGTTTACGATATTGTACCTCAGCCGGACGTACGATATCCGATCTTAGGTGTACGTATCTCAGAAAAATTACTGATATGTTGTTCAAATGCTGACACACTTTCTTCCCACATTTCTAGCAGAGAGCGGACGTAGCACTGATGCGCCCTCTTGCATGGCTAAACTGAGTCATGCAGGATGACCCAAATCAGCAGTAAATGGTGCATCGCGATTCAGACAAAATCTCACTCATTTTTTCCAGTGCACGGTTCCGTATCTCAAACTCATATGCGTGCGCGCAGAGAGGAAAAGAATATATTTTTTTGAGTGATGAATTGATCAAGTGACTCACGCAGCTTCATTTCAAGGCAGGTAAAACCTTCATCAGAGGTTATCATTCATCAGAGGTTATCATTTATCATAGTTTGTCATTCATCAGAGGTTATCATTTATCATAGTTTGTCATTCATCAGAGGTTATCATTCATCAGAGGTTATCATTCATCAGAGGTTATCATTCATCAGATGTCAACATTAGCCACA